CTCAGTCCTGGGAGCTCTAGTCCTTACAAAGACTTTCCCCGTTGAATCCTCCACACTGGAACAAGTGATGAGTCCTTTCACCTCCCAGTACTCCGACACATAGTTCTGGGAGTAGAAGCTGAAATGTTTTAATCTGGCCAGATGGCCTGCTTTTATACATTTCTGAACACAGACAAGCACGCCCATGACACTCCCACACAAAACAGGATAATCCCTCCCCTATGCCTGGGAGATTCCTTAAGTCAGGAACTGTACAAAACACAATTATCTTCATGCACAAAAAACACACATTTCACAGACACCCCAAAAGTACCTGTAACAGATCACCTGGCACCCCGACTGGGTACCTCCATTGAAAGATGCTCCTAGTGCTTCCTGAGGACTCCAAGCACTGCAGCAGACACCAAAACCACCGAACCGTAGGAGCATATGAATGCTCTCGAGCATATGAATGTTGTATACCGCCGAATAGGAAAAACCATGTGAATAGGTTTACACTCCTAGCAGTCAAACTGGAACAGCATACAATGAATCCTCCCCCAATAATGAGACGACACTTCACTTTGAGGGTTAAGCAGGAACTGACTGTACTGGCACATACAGCCTCTTTTATTCCCAATCCACAAACTGCCCACAGGGTTTTACAGAACAACCAATCAATCTGTACAATACACACAGACACTCCCACACAAAATCCTCCCCTCTGCCTGTAATACAATTACCTTACACAATGGGTAATCTAATTATCACAGACAGAGAAATACAGTTTCATAAAACACATCACAGGGACCCCAAAACATGCAATAACCCCATAAAAGGTTATTAGTACTTTGGAAAATACAGTTTAATGCAGATTCTGTAGAACATATACAGGCTAAATGAAAAACAATCACTGTATAATGTGTCCCCTGCTGTATAGTCCAAAACCACTGCACGATGTCTCTGTGCACCAAATACTGGCGAGATGGCACTGTGTTGAAAAGTCCAAACAGTGTCTGTGAGTTAAAATGGCCGCCATCCATTGTTCTCACCATGTGCTTCATCCATTGTTCTCACCATGTGCCTCTGATACAGGAAATGGTGGCCACCCAGTAACTCCACAGTATGTCCCCAGATGGTTCTTAAAGGGGCAGCAGCAGCACAACACAAATCCCTTATGCCCAAATCATGTCTTTAAAGGGCAATACATACCAGGGGCTATGGTCACATGGCAGGAGGCTGGCAATCAGTCTTCTCCAATGCCCAGTGGCGAGGTCAGTTTTGCCACAGTACCATTAAACTACATGAAGTTATAACCTCTGATAGCCCCTATCTGGGTGACTAATATATCCAAAAATCACCCAGATCAGTTCAGGGGTTTGGGATTTCCAGGAAGTCATAATTTGACCAACCGCACACAAGGCTCCTGCCCAAAATAGTTCCAGAGAAAAAGTGGTAGCGGTCGATCAAGTTTGGTAGTTTAAAAGAGAACAAACTACTGAACAGAATCCATTGCCATACTGTGGAGCTTGTTCTCTTCATCCAGACAAATGACGCCACTGAACAGTGTTCTTTTAAGTTATATAAAACTGAACACAGGCGATCATGGAAGTCCAGCGGTGTTCAGGAGTTTCAGTGTCCATTTTCAGTTCCAGGAACTAGCCGGCCAAACACCACTACCTGCATACGTGTGAACAAGATTCCATTTGCCCACCAGTTATATTGTCCCCACTACATTCTGCCACCTCCAGAAAGCATGGATCACACAATTATCTCTCTCTCAGAAAGGATATGTACACTGAAAAGCATGACAGCGGTTCACATTACCATGTTAAAGAACTGTACAAAGCATTTATATAATTTTCTCACATTTCAGTTATTCGCCATTGTGAGTATTCGTTTCACAAAATGTGAATACATTTGGGTTATTTGTCCCAAAGCAAGTGTATCAAAACCATCCGGCTCTATTGAGGACCATTCAGACTGAGAATCCCAGACATTGGGTTTGACTTAATATTTTTGGTTAAGTGTTTCCAATATTTTAATGTTTTCAGATAACCTTTTCAAATTATTTTTTTTAAATATTAAAAAGTTACATAGTTACATAGTTAAATAGCTGAAAAGAGACTTGTGTCCATCAAGTTCAGCCTTCCTCACATATGTTGTTGCTGTTGATCCAAAAGAAGGTCAAAAACCTAGTCTGAAGCGCTTCCAATTTTGCCACAAACTAGGAAAAAAATTCCTTCTTGACCCCAAAATAGCAGTCAGATGTCTCCTTGGATCAAGCAGCTATTACCCCACTAATTAGAAATTATATCCCTGTATGTTATGTTTTTGTAAGTATGTATCCAATTGCAGTTTAAACCTCTGTAGTGACTCTGACAAAACCACCTCTTCATGCAGAGAATTCCATATCCTTATTGCTCTTACTGTAAAAAAAAACCTTTTCTTTGCCTTAGATGAAATCTCCTTTCTTCCAGCCTAAATGTGTGACCTCGTGTCCTATGTGTAGCCCTGTTTATGAATAGATTTCCAGATAAAGGTTTGTACTGGCCCCGAATATATTTGTATAAAGTTATCATATCCCCTCTCAGGTGCCGTTTTTCCAAACTGAACAGATTTAATATTTTTAACCTTTCATCATAACTAAAATGCTCCATTCCTTTTATCAATTTTGTAGCTCGTCTCAGGACTTTTTCTAGTGCCATGATATCTTTCTTTAGAACAGGCGCCCAAAATTGCACAGCTTATTCAAGGTGTGGTCTTACCAGCGATTTATAAAGAGGCAAAATTATAATTTCATCCCGAGAATTTATGCCCCTATTTATACATGACAAAACCTTACTGGCCTAAGCAACTGCAGATTGACATTGCATATTGCTGCTTAATTTTTTTTTTTGACATTCTTTATTTCAGTTTTGTTTCATTTTTCCAAGTTTCAGTTGTGCATTAATGTGTTTAAACAGAAATAAACATTATGGATCAGCTTGCGTCAAGGTAAACAGTGTACATAAACACAACAGGGAATAGGTCGCATCGAAAATGTGCTATTTGTAAACATTATGTGGCATAACTTGCATCGGGAAGTCAGTGTGTGTAAAACTGTGTGTCAAACCAGCTCAAGTAGTGAGCTTTCTGGGAACATAGGTTAAACTAGCAGGGGCAGAGACCAGGTGTATGTCTCAATCCATAGTCCTGGTAAATGGGCGTAGGCTCAGGACGTGAATTGCTGACTAGCACATGGCAGGCAGATCTATATACAGCAGATGTACCTATTGTCAACCTACTTTGCAACATGTTACTACATCACACTGTGGCCTTTTTTCCAGTATTCCTTCTCTTTCCCCCGTGTCACCCTCCCCTGACTATCTCCACTCTGGCTCAACTCGTGTAGTTATGTTTCCCTCCTTGTTTCACATGTAGTGCACTTGCCAGGTTCGCTGTCATATGTCTTGTGGTAATAGTGCTGGTATCGTGTATACGTGACACCAATGTGTTGGATTCGGGTTGTTACGTGCATATTGTGACCTGTCGGCTTGGGGCTGTGATTTATGGTTCGCTATTTTATGCATGACTGTAGATTGCTGCCTCCATCCCCAGTAGGGTCTTGCGGGGTGTCCATCATATGGTGTTTGCATGTTAAGGTGGTGGGAAGCCTAAGAGTCGTGACCCTGCCTCCCCCCCGTCTTTCTGTCCGGCTAGTCCCCGCTAAGCGGGTGTGAAAGTGTGCGTGCCCTGGCCAGTGGTAGGAAGCGTGGAGGATGCGCAAGGGACGTAGGGGGCAGGTGGCTATTGATTTTAAGAATAGCTAATTTGGAGTCACAGTGGCGATAATGACACTTGTTAAAAGTATGTTTTGCTTTCTGCGTTCAATCTAGTTCGGGGCAGTGTTCAGTGTGTTTGTATCTTGTTTCCGGGTTGCTCGAGGCCCGACATCATGTCATAGGTCTCTTCCTGAGAGCCTTGGGCTTAGGGACTCAAGTGCCGAGCTATAACTGGGGTGGCACTGGGGGAGATCGAGTGAAATCATTTGTCAGTTGCGGGGCCGTGATTAGGTAGGTTTTGGTGTGAGCGTTATACATCTACTTGTGGGCGTCGGTGGCTTACTGATTTGTAGTGAGGGGTGTTGGTTGTGTTGGTTTGCTATTGTGTCTGCGGTGCCTGTGTATGAGCATGCTTGGTGGTATTCCCTGTCTTGGTTTACTGTGTAAGTCCTCTGCCTTCTTGTGTTGGGGTGTCTCTCTCCCCCCTCCCTCCTCTTCCCCATCTATCTTTCTCCATTCCCTTCGGTTTCGGGGGTTAGTTTACCGTTGTTGGTGCCATTTGCTCCCTAAACGTTGGGAGTCCTGGCGGGCCCAGATTGCGTTGGTGTTGTCTGTGCGTATCGTGAGTCTCTTCCTGTCCATCCTATTGTATGTACCCCAACAGGCTTAGCATTGTATTAGATAAGGCATGCACAGTTTTTTATATTATGAACAAGAGATAAACAGGGTAGTAAGATTTCTAGTTAGGTCTATCCAGCTGAAAATCATGATACAGGCTAAGTGCAAACGTATGAAGGTGAGTTGTTTGGCTAGGAGACATGCTAGGTTAGGTAATATGCACAAAGAGCATTTGATAATACTACACTATGCTAGTTATAAACATGCTAGACTCTCAAGAAAAGTAGTCATATCGATTGCTAAACAATAGTGCTAAAAACACAGGCATATAACATATAGGGAACTGATGAGTTAGTTAAAAGTAGAGTAACATGCTATGGTTATTTGATAACATTTTTAAGTGAGTTGGTTAGTTAGGAGACCTATCTATTAGGCATTACAGGTGGTGTGTTATTCATGCTTGATTCAGGCTAGCGGGCAGGCTATAGCATTAGGATTTTAATCTGTTGTAAATCACATGTAATCTGTGCAATTACTAGTATTATCTAGTGATAAAGCAAGAGAGTCACGAGTACTTATAAATGCGTCTAACTGACTACCGGCTGTATGGCTAGGCTATCCGCCTTCAGGTGTTCAGTATCAGAACTCGTCCCCTACTAAGTCCTCATTACTCAGCCGATGCCAGCACTGGAGGCTTGACAGGTGCGCTGGGAATAAAGGCAGGGAGGACTTTTCAGCAGGGTTCCGTCTCCGATGAGCCGTAGGGGTGTTCTCCGCCCGTGTCTTGGTATCGGGTCTAGCTGTGCACGCAAGTGGAGGCAAGCTGCAGGATGACCGTGGTAGGACCTGCTTCTCGTGGCCCGCCGTGTGCTCCTCGGTGCTGTCCCGGTACTGTGCGTGAAGGGGTGCAGGATCTTCTTGGAGATAGCGTTGATCAAAGGCCGGGAGGTGTGTTTGGATGGGGTTGGCTTGTACTTGCGTTAGAAGGTAATCGCATCAGGGTGCATCAGCGTGGGATTGCTTGCTTCCGGGTAAAGTCGCTTTCAGTGGTTTCCTTCAGAAGGCCGCAAATATGGCATTTAGCCGTGCCAGAGTGTCAGTCCCCTTTACTGTGTCGGGTGTCCCAGTGGTTTTCGCTGCCATTTTGGGGTTGGCGGGCTCCATATAAGGATGCTGCCCCGCAACCTGGGTGGGCTCTCATGGGACCAGGATAACCCCCACTGGTTTATAGGGGTGGGGAACAAAGGCCTGTGGTCTCAATTTCAGCCATAGCGGGCTGCGGGGGACCAGCTGCCTCCCCAACGCCGACCATGTTTGCAGGCCGCAGGTGTCTCTACATTGAGTCTTGACAGATAGACTGCTTATTTGGTATCTGCATATGCCCCGTGTTTCTACCTCTCCATTAGTGGCACTTTTGAGTCGGTTGAGTGGCATTCGTGGCTGATATACCGCATTTTTGTCTATTAAAGAAGGAGTAGTTCTATCCTGCGTCCGCTCAGCTCAGAGGTCAGGCCCCGCCCCCTGATAAGCTGTATTTTTATTGTATACTTCTGTGAAAAAAATTGTAATAGTCTGTCTCTGGTTTAAATACAAAGAAACTGCTTTTATGATGAATTTTGTAACTTATACCATTCAAAATTTGCTGTTTAGATAAAGCAACATAAATGTGAAAATGCTAATAGTCTATTGAGTAAATAGAAGGCTTATACCCGTAGCCATGGATATTTGATTGTGTTTGCCAAAACAGCCAGCCATATATTAATGAATGGGCAATGTCAAAATTTTCACCTAAAGAGTTCTTCAGAGATCTGTAACCTATGCACAGTACTAGAGAAAATTCCCCTCCATTTTATGTTCAGGAGATTGTTGAGGGATTTCTTAAACCCTAAGCTGATTAGAAGTTAATGATGTGTGTTCTGAAGGAAAGTTTAATAAATACACAATTTATATGGTGTTGGTAGAAAGTCTGTTATTTGTTCTTGAAACAAATCTTAAAATGGTCAGCGGGATACTGCACACTCTATAAAAAGGACTAAAAGGAAATCAAATTGTGTAGGAGATCTTTGAATTTGTAGAAATTGTGATAACATCTTGAAACTATATCTGTTTTCCAAATGTCAATCTGATGTGCTTGATTTATCAATTATAAATTTACAATTTTAAACACACAGACACATACAGGTTACATACAGGCAATCCCAGAACAGACAAGTACATACTGATACACGCAGACAGGTATATACAGTCACACGCAGGTATGCACAGGCATAGACAGACACATACACACAAACACACACACAAACACAAAGAAAAAAACAAATAAACACAGGTAGGCAGTCACACATAAACAAAGGCATATATATATATGAAAATATATATATATATATATATAAAAAAAAAATATATATATATATATATATACAAGTGATACTCGAAAAATTTGAATATCGTGCAAAAGTTCATTTATTTCAGTAATGCAACATAAAAGGGGAAACTAATATATGAGATAGACGCATTACATGCAAAGCAAGATAGTTCAAGCCATGATTTGTGATAAGTGCGATGATTATGGCTTACAACTCATGAAAACCCCAAATCCACAATCTTAGTAAATTAGAATATTGTGAAAAGGTGCAATATTCTAGGCTCACAGTGTCCCACTCTAATCAGCTCAGTAAGCCATAACACCTGCAAAGGGTTTCTGTGCCTTTAAATTGTCTCTCAGTCTGGTTCAGTAGGAATCACAATCATGGGGAAGACTGCTGACCTGACAGTTGTGAGGAAAACCATCACTGACAACCTCCATAAGAAGGGAAAGCCTCAAAAGGTAATTGCGAAGGAAGTTGGATGTTCCCAAAGGGCTGTATCAAAGCACATTAATAAAAAGTTATGTGGAAGGGAAAAATGTGGAAGAAATAGGTGCACAAGCAGCAGGGATGACCGCAGCCTGGAGAGGATTGTCAGGAAAAGGCCATTCAAATGTGTTGGGGACTTTCACAAGGAGTGGACTGAGGCTGGAGTCAGTGCATCAAGAGCCACCACACACAGATGGATCCTGGACATGGGCTTCAGATGTCGTATTCCTCTTGTCAAGCTGCTCCTGAACAACAAACAACGTCAGAAGCGTCTTACCTGGGCTAAAGAAAAACAGACCTGGTCTGTTGCTCAGTGGTCCAAAGTCCTCTTTTCTGATGAGAGCAACTTTTGCATCTCATTTGGAAACCAAGGACCCAGAGTATGGAGGAAGAATGGAGAGGCACACACTGCAAGATGCTTGAAGTCCAGTGTGAAGTTTCCACAGTCTGTGTTGATTTGGGGAGCCATGTCATCTGCTGGTGTTGGTCCACTGTGCTTCATTAAGTCCAGGGTCAACGCAGCCGTCTACCAGGAGATTTTGGAGCACTTCATGCTTCCTTCCGCAGACGAGCTTTATGAAGATGCTGAATTCATTTTCCAGCAGGACTTGGCACCTGCCCACACTGACAAAAGCACCAAAGCCTGGTTCAATGACCGTGGGATTACTGTGCTTGATTGGCCAGCACACTCGCCTGACCCGAACCCCATAGAAAATCTATGGGGCATTGCCAAGAGAAAGATGAGAGACATGAGACTGAACAATGCAGAAGAGCCGAAGGCCGCTATTGAAGCATCCTGGTCTTCCATAACACCTCAGCAGTGCCACAGGCTGATAACTTCCATGCCACGCAGCATTGAGGCAGTAATTGCTGCAAAAGGGGCTCAAACCAAGTACTGAGTCCATATGCATCCTTATACTTTTCAGAGGTCCGATATTGTTCTATGTACACTCCTTGTTTTATTGATTGCATGTAATATTCTAATTTACTGGGATTGTGGATTTGGGGTTTTCATGAGCTGTAAGCCATAATTATCGCACTTATGACAAATCACGGCTTGAACTATCTTGCCTTGCATGTAATGCATCTATTTCATATATCAGTTTCCCCTTTTACGTTGCATTACTGAAATAAATAAACTTTTGCACGATATTCTAATTTTTCTAGTATAACCTGTATATATATGCCTCTGTGTGCTTGTCTGTACCTATTTGTACATATATATATATATATATATATATACATACATACATATACACACAGTTTAAACAAGATTGTAAAAGTACAATGGAGGTTTCTTGAGGGAAAGGCGGGAGGCCAGTCACTGAGCAGGGCCGCTGCAAGTCTACTGTAGGGAGAGCACTGTTCCACCGGCCCTTAGATAGAAATGCAGTGATAACGACACACATGGAAAATGACTCATATCAAATCCCCTGCATGCCTATCACTGTACTGCTTCTGCTCCCTGCTTCTGCTTTCATCATAAATTGTTTGTGTCTCTTCTTTTAATGAACATCACCTTGTTCTCATGGAAGATGTTTTTTCACATGCAGTGTGTGGAACCTGCACACTGGTTTGAGCACATCACTAATGGAATACCCTTGCCACTTCTGAGATATTTTATAAGTACATTCCACTTGCTCTGACCTCAGCTTCAGATTTTTTTTTCACAATACAAGATGGCACTCTTTATTGGTTATTTCTATATTCTACGCCATACCTTGCACATATTTAATGTATTCATTTTGTTACATGTTCCATCACTATGTTTGGTGTTTCACTGATTTTCCCTACCGTACACTAGAAATGCTATTGTGTGTCAAATCTGAACAAGGTTTGTCATAAGATAATTTCCTTCCCAGATAATGATCCATATGAAGTAAAGCTGGTGCATAATTAATTTTACAACATGACAGGAGGCCTCATATTTTGCATAATCTCTCTTTACTAGCTCCACACAGCAGCACAGAAACACATAGAAAAAAAGAACCAATCACAAGAGAGTAGGATGTACATAAGGTATAGTGACCTCATCACTTCCTCTTTCTTTGCTGCTCCAGCAAGCAGACAGGTCAGAGTATTACTCTTCTCCATTAATTTATGTTTCTATTGCCTTTTTGGGACTGTTTTGGGGATTGTATTTTAATAGGTTTTGCTATTTGTTTTGCTGTGCTTCTATGCTATGGGAATCTGGGGGACTTTCTTTCTTTTTTCTTTTTACTTTTACCTTATTCTGGGTGCTTGGCCCTCTCCCCTCCTTATTTCTCTTCTCTAAGGGTCCAAATGAGCTTTTGGGCATTGCTGGGGCTTAACCCCTACCCTCCTGCTGTTTCTGCCAGCTCCCAGCATTTGTTTCCCTTCCTTTTGGTTTCCCAGTATATCACGGCATGACTGTAGTCTTTTCCCCATGGCTGCGCCGCACTCTCAAGTTTGGCGAGGGCTGGACTAGGGGACCCTCGCGAACAAGCCAAGGCCATCTTTAATCTCACGTCTCGCAAAATTGCGGGTGGCCATCTTGCTTCACCCACGAGCTGTGGTGGCCATCTTTAATCTCACATCTCAGGAGATTGAAGGCGGCCATCTTGCTACACCCGCACACCGCGTATTCGGCACTCGGAAGTAGCTTATGCTTGTGCTGCCAGCCTAGCCTTAGCTGCTCTAACAGGCGTTGGATTCCAAGTTTAAATCCAGACACATTTAAGTATTCTAATCTGTTCTATAATTACATGTTAATGTTGTACTACTGCAGTTGTATTTGAGGTTTAAAGACCCTCAGATTAACTGTTAGAGCACAGTTCAGTGCTCTATATCAGGACCATGCCGTATGACTAACTGAATATCTTCAGTTATGGGATGTTTAAAGGGATACCTCCCATTAACCTCAGATTACTGTTAGAGCATGAGTTAGTGACGGTGACATACACATTCTAGAGTTCATATGCTGTACTGCTGTACACCTGGGGTTAACCCCTGCTTAGGTCATTCTACTTTGTCCTACTGTTTTATGTTTATGGTCCCTCATCAAGACCCACACTTCCAGGAGGAAGGTGTTATGTGGGACCGGCTGACAGCGGGGCTTTGTCACCAACCACTTTGGGACATCTGATCATGTACCCTGC